AAAGAAAATTTAATTTCCAGTTTACAATTTTCAAGCTATTGATCAATTTATGTGTCCCCTAAGAATAAACTAATTTCATTATAGTTAATGCCACATTAGATTTTAGCAGCAAAGCTAGAATGAAGTCAATATACATGTTCTGCATTTTATAGCCTCCTGGCTCATGACAGTGCTCCTACTATTTGTGAAATCTTTTTTTCCTAAATGTAACCTACTCACAAGTGTCTTGAAAACTCGAGCTGACACAATTTAGAGTTTAAAAACCACTCATATAGATTTTCAGAAATGTAGTAATATTGAAGTAACAATCCATTTACATTATTTATGAAAATTAAATTATATTTTAATTAATTATCTAAATTGAAGACTATTTGAATTTGTATTTAAGTATTATTATCTATACATGCTTAGTTTGCACAGATTTTGTATTCTTTTGTAAAAATTAAGCAGCGCTAAATATGGCAGATGAGAGAATTTTCTAAAGGTGGTCCCCGTAATTTTCTTTACTGTAAAATAACTAATCATATTAAAATTTGCTATTCCATTTATTCTACCACTGAAACCTTTTATCTAATCTTTCTAGCTGATATTAAGAACAGTATTAGTTCTTCACTGAGAAGGAAAATCATTCAGGATTTTGCAGCTTCAATTTCCAGACTTATAAACCAAATCCAGATATCAATATTAATCAAATTCCTTCATTCATTCCCCAATTCAGTGGTGGTGTTCTACTGGTTCGGCCCAGTTCAGGTAAACCAGTAGTAAAAAATTGTTACCATTTGGCTGAACCGGTAGTAAAAAAAACAGCTACCGGTTCAGCCAAACCTGTGATGACCTGGGGCGTGGCACAAAAATAACAAAATCACCAAAGTAGATAAAGTCCCTTTAATGCCTCCAACTTGGCCCCCAATGTCCAGTTATCCTTGGCTGGAAATCAAACTCTTCCAAAAACAGTCTACAAAGGGAAGAAATGCAGTTTGAACCCAAAGTAAATATAATAAAAAAACCAACACAAACCATGCTGAAGTAATTAATATGACAGGCCAGGAAGATAAATTGCAACTTCCAAAAGATAACACAGTACCCACAGTTGGGAGGACACCAAAACCCAGATAAGCCTCGACAAAGATAATGCACGCTTTGCTTTCAGCAACTTTGCCATGCGTAGTTTGCCCTTTTAAACAGTCTTCCCAGCTGCAGCACATGAAGTGGATCAAGGCCCTTTCCTCGGAATGCCCAGCCAGACTGTGCCCTTTCCCATTTCTTCCACAGTCACTGGATCCACACTCACACTCCCTGTCAGCTACTCAATCTCCCCCTCAGAATCGGACTCCAACAAGGGCATGACAGAACCAGTATTTCTTTTTTTTCCCTCCTGATGATCAGCTGTTCCAATGTTCAGCTGTGCTGGAATCCCCCTCACTATCTTATTGCTTCACCCAGAAGGTTTCCTGAGGCCCAGGAGCCAAAAAGAGGCACCTGGGTGCTGCAAAAAGAAAAAGAAAGAAGAAGCCACACTGACCCAGTCACATGGCCGTGCCCACAGAACCGGTAGTAAAAATATTTGCATTCAACCTGTGCCCCCATCCAAAATACTTTGTTCTATGAAATCAAATTTGTTAAAGCACTTAAGAAAAAAATACAATAAATGTATCCAAAATATTTCTGTTTCAGCCAAAACCAACAGCTTCTGTCTTTCCATTCCCACCTATATTTTTAAGTTGAATAGTTAGAAAGCTGGACAAAATAAAACAAATTCTATGTGTTTGCTTTCTTGATGTTTTACATGTTCACTCATATGGGAAATCTTGAGGGCAATTTTCCATCTCATATAATATACACCATGATAGAATGGCTAGAGTGTTGTACCTCCATACATTTTGAAATGCTAGATTCCAATATGAAGCCATTATCAAAGGTTTAAACATTTTTTGGATTTCCAAGTGCCTAAATGGCACTTTGAAAATTATTAAATGTGTAAGTATTTATTACAAATATATATAAGTTGATGGTTCATCAATTGTCTAAACATATTTCCATAAGTCACAATTGCTTACAATTTTTGTAATATTATAAAATTCAAAGTTGAATGAAAAAAAATGTATTTTGTAAAAATAAGTTTTGAATTTCCAAGTAGACAGGATAGAAGAAACAGATGGAAAGGATACCAAAATTCCAACACCCTCTGCTACATAACCAAGAGCCATCATAAAGTTATAATTGCTTTATATGATTATAAATTTCTGTTGTCAAAGTCAATACTACTGGCAAAGATGTATCTCTGGCATAACATATTCTGATAGCTTTTTCAGAGAACATGAATAGTGGAATGCATACAGAAACAAGCCATGTATAAATGAAGAGAAACTGTTCAATGAAAAACACAATTTGCTTTCATGAAAATGTATGTAGAACTATAATTTTAAAAGTTTCACAAAAGCTCTTTATCTTATAAATCTTGATACATACATTTAATGTTATATATGTAGCAATCTTCATATAAAAATTAGTGCCAGAAAATGCATTTATCTTTCACTTACTATAGAAATTTTCAATTCTTTGTTTCTACTCTTTTAATAGATGATAGTATGTATCTGTAACTTCAGTTCAAGGTCCACTTTTCTTTCTCTTTCTTTCTTTCTTTCTTTCTTTCTTTCCTTTCTTCTTTCTTTTTCTTTCTTTCTTTCCTTTCTTTCTTTCTTTCTTTCTCTTTTTCTTTCTTTTTTTCTTTCTTTCTTTCTTTCTTTCTTTCTTTCTTTCTTTCTTTCTTTCTTTCTTTCTTTTCTTTCTTTCTTTCTTTCTTTCCTT